TTGTTTCATCTGTGTAATCGATGCCTTGGCTCATTAGTGTGTGCATCAAGGGGTACACAAGTCAAAAAAGGTTAGGAAACACTGCTCTACAGGAACATTTCACACACACACAAAGTTTTTGAATTCCCAGGGAAAGGAAAAAAAATCATCAGAAAAGATGATGGAACCACAATATTTTAAATTAATATGTGAAGTTAATTAAAGAATCTGGTATTTGATATTACCTCCAGTTTTATAAATATGATCATACAATGAAACAAATAAAGAGCCATTCACACAAAACTTTCCTATTAGACCTCACATAGCTGTAACTAAAAACCTCTAAGACATATTTGAACTTAAACTTGGACTGCTAACTTTTATGCAACAAACAGTTTTGGGTCTTGCATGAAATAAAAAGGAACTGATTAGTTCTTAAATTACCTCAAAATTGTTGTGATTCATTCATTTGAAGACTTTATACATATTTACCAGGGGTGCACAAAGTTAAGGGCGACGCATGTACTATTTCCCCTTTATTTTCCACCATTCCAGAAAAGTAAATATTCTCAGAGCCATGCCACTTTCCGCTGGTTCCTTAAAAATGGCTGTCAATGTCTCGCCTTTACAGCAACATGCGGCCTCAGAAAATATTATTTATCCTGATTTCAAATGATATTTTAATTTATATTTTAGACAACAGTTTAAGCCAAGTTCAAGATGCAATAAAAAAAGTGTAATAAATAAAAGGGTTGCAGTGGGGTTGAGCAACTGTGTGGTCAGCAGTGACGGTTCGTCTTGCTGCGTTCACCTGCCTGACTGAAGACTTGTGCTACACCCCTGCTGCTCGCTCCTCTGGGAAAAACATCAACACGTACAATGCATTTCACTACAACACATGCTGTGGGACATGCTCTGGGCAACCAGCCCGGCATCATGAAGCTTTTGGAGACCAGAGGGAAACACTAGAGAGGTGGGTTAGTAGGTCTAGTCCAATCATAGCAGAACTGCTGCTTAAAGACCAAAGAGAAATAAGAAGGCGTCTCATGAAGAAGCAGACAATTAATATTTAAACTTCACTATATAAAGTGTCCCCTGCCCCTCAGGATGCCGAACAGCTACCCATTTCTACCAACAAGGTAGCTGTAAATACTATACTATGAACAATAAGGTAGGCACAGACCAAGCAGTTGGTTATACAGCTTGGCACGCAGACACCGGACGAGAGAGACTGCAGCAAGGGTTTGACGTGATCATGTGTTATGTTCGTCCACACCTTAGGCTTCGACTTGGGGCTGGTGCCGTCGGGCCCGTCCTCGTAAGGCTCGTCGGGCCGGCCGCCGGCATTTAGCCAGCGGGTCTTGTCACGCTGGCCACGCTGGAAGCTGTGTTTCAGTGGGGAGCGAGCACCTGAGTCGCTGTCCTCCCCATAGGAGTAACCGCCGTGGGCGGAGGAGGCGAGCTCCGTGTCACTGTACTTTTTACCTTTGTCTCTCAGAGCCGGGCAGCGGTAAGGATAGCCCGTCCTGTAGCCCTGGAAATAAAAAAAACCGTCAGGCGTCAGAAAAAAGGTGGAGCAATTGTAAAATGTATGGTTTATACAGCGCAAAACTATTCAGAAATAAGTAAATATTTCTTAAATTAAGTGTATCTATCCTTAATTTCGGTAGGCAAATAAGATGATTTGATAATGTCATGAGTATTGTTACTCTAAAAATAATTAAATAATGCACTTGAAATAAGACAAAGTAATTGTTTTTTTCTTTATTTTAAATGTAAATTGCCTTTTTCCATTGGTAAAGTGTCTCACTTCCCCCCTCAGTTTAATAGAAAATGCACTTATTTTAAGCAGGGTTCATACAAGAATGAGTAACTCTAATTAATGCTTTTTAATGCTCTTTTAATGCTCTAAGATCAACTGGAAGCCGTTCAGCGCAAATATATTACGATACAAAATATCTGACTAAATTGTTTTTAATAAACTTTTCTTTTTTTTTTTTAAATAAAGCATTTTAAATGCCACGATAATCACATTTAATGAATTTTAATGCAAATTAAGGCCTTCATTTAAAAAATAATAATCTAATGACTTTTAATGACCTGCAGAAATTCTGTTAAGGGAAAATTACTTATTTAGATTTCAATTTTTTGCAGCGTAATCAAGCACGGTGAAGATAATAATTTCAAGGAAGAGAATAAGAATAAGAAAATGCAGGAGGTGCTTTATTTTCAGAACTCAACCATTTCACAAATGCTTGGTCACCAGTAGAACAGCATCAATAGTTCTGATTGGTAAACCTTAAAGCAACATGTACGCATCCTTTCTGAGGGCTTACCAAATTGTCGAGCATTCTCATGAGAGCCTCAAACTCCTGCTCCCCAATCTGCCACTTTGGGTGTGACGACGACCCGTCGCCTGCTGGCTCAGGGACGCATGGGCGAGACTTGTACTTTGACGGGTCCAGCATAACCAGATTGTCTGGACCTCCAGCGCTGGCCAGTGTTCGCACCTAGAAAACATTCAGAAGGTATATAAACCAGACAGAACCAGAGCAGAGAGTGAAAGAGAAGAAGCAAGACAGACATGGAGGAAGGAAATGCAACACAAAGACAGCGACATGAAAAAAACTGAATTTATGGAGAGACAAAGATAGTCGTTATGAACGATACAGAGAGCTTTGATGAAAATAACATAAAAAAAACAGTTAAATGACATTTGCAGACATTTAGACGTTTTTAATGTGAAATATTTAAGATGAAGCAGCTTTCTAGTTGTCGTGTTAGACCAACCTGGATTTCACAGGCGGTCACCAGGTTGTGGATGTAATAAAAGGCCTCCTCCACCGTTTCTCCAACCGACACCAAACCATGGTTCCTCAGGATAAGAACCTGAGATAAAGAAAATAGATAAGCCACAGAGCCAGAGCTTGTTCCGGATTCCTTTTCATATCCTGTAGATACCTTGCTCTTGGCCCCAAGATTCTTCTGTATGAGAACTCTTTCTTCATCGTCCACCAGGATGCCATGGTAATCGTGATAGCTCACCTCCCCCAGGGACAGAGCCTCAGGAGAGATGGGCAGCAGCCCACATTTCATGGCCGATACCTGCAGCATAAACATACAGGCTGATGAAATATCTGGATATCTATAGGCAGCATGTTGCTTGGTAAAGTCAGAGTGTGTGTGCTCACCGCTGCACCTGCCGCAGTGTGTATATGTACAATACACTTGATATCGGGCCGTGCGGCATAGATGGCAGAATGGAGGGTGAAGCCGGCCTGGTTGACCCCCAGGTTGGTGCTTCCTCTGTCTACGATTTCCCCCTGAAGGTCTATCTTCACCTGAAGGGGATTTAATGTGAAGGCATGATTAAAACTGTCTTTTGGAGACATTTAACTCAAGTTAAATTTTAACGGAAAAACAAGGGACAGAGTTTTAGCATATACTGAAATGCTGATAAAAACCTGAACGGGTTCTTACCAAACTAGAGGCAGTGACTTCACTGTAAAGGAGCCCAAAGGGAACTATTAGGAAGCGTTCCTGGTCTGAGTTAACTCTGACCTGCAAGATAAAGAAATAAGATATTTAGGGTAAATTTGTACATCAGATCCAGGTCTCCATTGATTGTCTGCACCTCTCAGTGAGCTCAGTGAGTTACCGTATTAAGACAACATTTCTAATGAGTATTACGTGCAAACTTTGATCATAGTGAAGCCATAAAATTTTGTTGGTCCAATACAGAAACTTGTGTTTGCCCCCTTAACAAAGACAGTGAGAAAACAGATCTATTAGCTGCAACACAACCTGATATGTATGCAGAGTCTCAGAAACCTTAACTGTGGGGCAGAGCTGCTCTGAAACACATTTGATCCAAAGAATTCAAAACAAGCTGTTCGGATTATGAAGGAGAGCTTTTCTAAATTTTTTTCCATTTATAATTAACAGAAAGCCAACTTTAAAATCCAATGCGCCATATAATCAACAAGTCAAAACAGTAGGCATCCTAGTGCTATCGTAGCCTTTCACCAAAGCAGTCTGTGTTATTGGCAGGAGAAAAATTGTAATTAATCAGCTCATATTTGTGTTTGTAGAGTGAGAAATATGCTTGGAACGGATTAAAAAGCAAAATATGTTTTAAAAAGCATTCTGTCAAAATATTTGCTGTTTTCCTAACCGAGGAAGCACATGTTAGAGAAGCACAACCAGACCTGGACTAGACAAAATATATGCCACTGTTAAGAAAAACAGGGGGGCGGGTCAAGTGCTGCACATCCACACTAATGCAGACTATATAATACTATATATCAGAGGTCAGGGATAAGCGGACCGGATCCAACCTGATTTACAACATTTATAAATGGCCGCATGTTGTCTGACGACAGTGTTTAACTCCAAAATCCCCACGTTCTGAGTCTCCCCTCCGCCCCGCTGCGCAAAGCAAAGCCTACAGCCTCCGCTGTTCCTCCCATCTTGCTCCGCTCCAACTTCTTCGGAGCTCAAGGAGAGAATGCGCTATATTATTATTAAATTCAGGAGCAAAACATGCGGAAATTAAAGTCTAATTTAATATGAAATGTTAAAAAAAATCCCCACCATCCATCATCCAGCGAGCATATGTTCAGTTTCTGCCCAAATATTTTCATTTTGTTGTGGATTTTTGTAACAGGGATAACTAGGATCATCCATGGTTTGTATGAACTATGTTTTATCTCCGCTTCCAAACTCAGCATCTCTTCATCCAGGCCTGAGATGAGAAGTTTCTTTTGAAGTTGTGAGAGGCGCTCTTGGGCATTTTGACTGCATTTGATGAAACTTTTAAA